GATCAGCTGTGTCTGCATTTGTAGATATGGTCGCTTTCTGATCGGTCACGCAGTGGTTTCCTTGATCGGCAAAACTTTTATAATTCCCTGAGACTTGTAACAGTAGCACAGAGCAAGAGAGAGCTGACACCTGAGATTGTTAATGCAGCACTGAATACTCCTGCCGCAGCCAAAATACCACCACCCAAGATTAATCTCTCAGCTATTCCTGCAGCCAGACCTAATCCTGCTGCTACCACGGTCGGTCCGGTTTCCTCAACCGTTTCCCAAAATTTGGGGTTTGGAGGACCAGGGGTTAAAAATGCGAATGTCAATCAGAATTATTTTCCACCTCAACAAAACCAGCAAATAAGACCAAATCAAGGAATATCTGGGCTGACTTCACTTGGACCAACAGCTGGTCCAGAGTATAGACCAAGTGCCTTACCAGGTCAATTTCAACCAGTTCCTGTTGGTAGTGTTACACGCCCTCCTCAGAATGTTCCCACTAATGTATCTGGTCCTGGTAGTTCAACGTTCAATCTTAATAATTTGTATGCTGGAAATACCAGCGGATATTCGTCAGGCTTTGGAGGGGGCAGCGTAACAGCACCGTCTCCTGGCTTAAAACCAGAGCCACAGATTGATCCCAAAGCGCTGGTTGTATCTGGAAATGGAGGTGACATGTTTTCCTCCTTCCAGCAAAAACAAGAACCCGCCCTGAATAATTCTTCAATTAGTTCAGCCATTGTCCCTGCTTCTGCTGGTACCCAACCTCCAGCAAAATCTAATGCTCTCGACTCCCTACAGAGTACTTTCTCAATGCTACCTGCAGGGAATCAGCCTCAGCAGCCACGGCCAGCAGCAAGTTCACAGCCTGCAGTGTCCTCACAAGGTCCATCCCCCGGTTTTTCAGCTGGAAATGCAGTTGGATCGGGCCATTCGGCTCCAGCTGGAAATAATCAGCCTCCATGGCCAAAAATGAAACCATCTGATGTCCAGAAATATACAAAGGTATTTATGGAAGTTGATAGCGACAAGGATGGGAAAATTACTGGTGAACAGGCAAGAAATCTGTTTTTAAGCTGGAGGCTACCCAGGGGTAATGATTTTCGATCTTTCAGTCCACTTTACATTCCCTTCGTATGTGAAATGAGCTGTTGCCTCTGTTATTAGATGCAATTCTGGATTGAAGAATCTTTTATAAACTTGTGCTCGCGTCTCTTTTTTTATGGGACAGACCATTCCCTGTTACGACAATTTATTTGTTACTCTCCTGAGGCTTCTTCTTATAATAATATCGGCAAGTGTTTATGCTAACATTTTTCTTTTTCTCGGTTTCAGAGGTATTGAAGCATGTGTGGGAATTATCTGATCAGGATAATGATACTATGCTTTCGCTGAGGGAGTTCTGCATTTCATTGTATTTGATGGAGCGGTATAGAGAAGGCCGTCCTCTTCCGACCACACTTCCTAGCAGCATCATGTTTGATGAAACACTGTTATCTATTTCAGGCGCACCTAGTCATGGTTATGCAAATGCTGGATGGGGATCTAGTCAAGGTATTGCTTACTTTCATGCATTTTAGTGATCTTTTCTTTTTCCCTGTTACTTCATTCTAAGTGAAATTTCTCTATTTGAAGGTTTTGTACAGCAGCCAGTAATGGGTGCACGGCCAATCACTCCAACGACTGGTATGAGACCGCCAGTTCCGGCACCAGGCCCTCACCCTGGCAGTGGTATACCATCTAACCAGCAAAGGAATCAAGCGCCAGGTTTGAATGATCCCAGTCACCTAGGTAATGGATATTCTACAAGCTCAAATCTTCCAGACGCAGCAGCTGATGGGGAAAAGGTGATCATTTATATTCACTTATAATATGGGGAAAAAAAATTATTTAAGCTTAGATGAGCGGCATTTCCATTTGCATTTCAGCATTTCCTTTTAAGCATGTGAAAAAAAAATTCTAATCTGTGTAGGTTGATGAAAAGCAGAATGCGTATATGGACTCCAGAGAGAAACTTGAATACTACCGGACGAAAATGCAGGATATTGTGAGTACTCCGTTATTAATTACTATTGTTTTTGAGAAGTGAGAAATGATCTTGATCTGTCAGATTTCTGTATTTGAATATAGTTAACTATTGTCAATGTAAACGTTGCTATATTTGTATTCATTAAAATCCGTGAAGAAATTGTTAGCTCTATTAAGTTTAAGATTAAGCTGCAGAACTGAATGTAATCTTGGTAATGGTCTTACATATGTATAAGTTTAAGATGGTTGTTCTCCTTGAGGTTTTGCTATCTAGAGCTTGATCTTTATCTTATTTTAGATTATATACACATTCTGTGTGTCAGAGAGTAAGGTTCCTGTGCTGAGATCCAATTTTTATTTTCCTTATATTTTGATTGTTCCTCTCTGTGTCAGGTCTTGTACAAGAGCAGGTGTGACAATAGATTAAATGAGATCTCCGAAAGGGCTTCCGCTGACAAGCGTGAGGTGCTAATTACTTAGAAAATCGCTTTTCTCATTTATTTAGAACTTAGAGGCAATTCTGTCTTATCCAAAACAATTTCTGCTGCAGGCCGAAACATTGGCAAAGAAGTATGAAGAGAAGTATAAGCAAGTTGCAGAAATAGGGTCAAAATTAACTATTGAAGAGGCCAGGTTCCGTGAGATTGAGGTATGACTAATTCGTTTGCCTGCCACTTGAAGTGGCAGCGCCTATGTTTATTCCAGCCATATATTGTTTTATTCATTTCATCTATGTGTTTTTACCTCCAATACTCGGCTTGTCTCTTCCACTTTTGCTGCTGAAGAAGGGGATTTGATTTATGTGGGTAACACATCTTTCACGGAAGTTTTTACTTATTGAAGTTTTTCTAACCCATTCCAGGGGAGGAAGACGGAGTTGAGCCAAGCGATTGTGAACATGGAGCAAGGTGGTAGCGCTGATGGTCTCCTTCAGGTACATGCTATTCTCTATTATTCTGTGATGCGTAAACTATCGAGTATCTCCTGTACAGTGTACATGCCTGAATTGATACTTTACTGGGAATATATAGGTCCGGGCTGACAGAATACAGTCAGATCTAGAGGAACTGATGAAGGCTTTAACTGAACGTTGTAAGAAACACGGGTTGGAAGTTAAGTCCAAGGCCCTTGTAGACCTTCCAGCTGGTATGACAGACAGTTCTGTGCCTTGTGACTTCTTGCTTTCGTTGTAAGGAATGCAAATTGCATGTATTTTGTTAACAAACAAATCCTTTGAAATCTGTTATGTTGTAACTTACAGGCTGGCAACCTGGAATTCAAGAAGGGGCAGCTCTTTGGGATGAAGAATGGGATAAGTTTGAAGATGAAGGTACAATGTTTTATCCTATCTTTCTATTACCAATATATTTAGATTTTTATCCTTATGAACATAATAAGGACATAGACTGATAATCTACCCACTATTAGGATTTGGCAATGAGATCACTTTTGACAAATCAAAAGAGCAAAACTCATCTGGTGAGAAGGAAGACGGTATGGTGGATGATGGTAATGGGCCATCTGATTCGCCGACTCATATAGATGAAAACTATGGACCATTTTCAGAAACCTCAGACCGCCACCATGAGTGTGAATATGGGACACATCACAGTGAAGATGATTCAGGCAGAAGTCCTAGAGACAGTCCTGTCTCTAGGACTGCTACTGAGATCCCATCTCCTGATTATTCTCAGGGAAAGAATTCTGAATTCTTCGATGACTCGAATTGGGCTAGTGCGTTTGACACTAACGATGATGTGGATTCAGTCTGGGGATTTGATGCATCAAAAAGCCAGGTTAGTACATAATCCGTTGTGTCTCTCGATTTATTAAATCATTCCATCCATCAAAATACTATATTAAACCTTTCAGTTGTGATTAATGATTATGTAGTAGACATTGAACTGATTTTGTACTTTATACAAGAGTTTGAAAACATGTATCTTTGTTAAGTCCAGACTTTCAGATTTGGAATGGTACAATTGCCTTCAGTATGATGAATTATTTAGTTACCTATTTGGAGTTGTAACCAAGCTTAGCATTTTGAATATGGACATTGGCAGGATGGAGATTATTTTGGATCTGGTGGCGATTATGGTGGAAACACAGGAAGGGCAGATTCTCCAAGTTCAAGAAGCTTCGGTGCTCAGAGAAAGAGCCCATTTTCATTTGATGATTCAGTTCCCAGCACTCCACTTTCAAGATTTGGGAACTCTTCACCTCGGTTCAGCGATGCTTCAGCGAGAGATAATAATTTTGATAGCTTCTCTAGGTTCGATTCCTTCAACACCAGTGAAGCAGGCGCCGGATTTTCCTCCCAGCCCGAGAGGCTGTCTCGGTTTGATTCCATTAACAGCTCCAAAGACTTTGGTGGAGGTGCCTTCTCCAGGTTTGACTCAATTAACAGTTCCAGAGACGTCACTGGAACTGAGAAACTTTCGAGGTTTGATTCCATCAACAGTAGCAGAGACTTTGGTGGTCCCTCGCTATCAAGATTCGACTCCGTGAATAGTACAAAGGATTTCAGTGGCAGCCATGGATACTCATTTGATGATGCAGACCCTTTTGGTTCCACTGGTCCCTTCAAAGTCTCTTCGGATGAAAGCCCCAAGAAAAGGTCAGACAATTGGAACTCCTTCTAGCCTCGATATTGCTATCATTCCTTTTTAAATCCCTTTTTTTTTTCCTCGCGTGATGAAATTTGTGATTGTTTCATAAAAGCTTATAATTTTTTCACCAAACTCTGGTTTTGCATGAGACAATCAATAGCATTAGTCTATTTGTATTTGTAAAGTTTGTCATTGTATGGTTTCCTACTGTATCTCTGTTCTGTTATGAATTCACTTACTTTATATGAAGAAATATTTGAGGCTTTCGTCGTGGAGAACGAATTAAAGGACGGTGAATTGTGTACAAGATTTTGTTGTTCTCCATTTTACCAATGTTCTCTTCTCCAAAATGTTTCATTATTTTGATCCATCATTAGCTCAAAAATGTCCATAAGAAATTGGTACCATTTAATTATATCGAAGCAAATACAGTTTTTACACAAAGGGGATAGCTACAAATATGAAAATCTGAGCTAATGCCTTGGCACATTCTAGCTCTCTGACTACAAGATATATATGATTTGCAATTCGCATCACCAAATTCCCCCATTATCAATGTAACTTTGTCTTTGAGATTGGCTCCATTCTGCATCCGCTGAATCCCCCAAGCATATTTCAGGATCAGGTGTTACTTAGGAACTTCACTTTTCTGTGATCCGCTCAAAGGCAGATAGCATAGATGCACGCATGTTGGCTATTTCCACAATAGTTTCAAGAGCTGTCCGAAAGCAAGAAAGAAAAAAAAAAAAGCTAAGCTGGAATCTATTTTGTGAGTATACTTGTGATGATGATTATCTTACCTGTCTCAAACGATAGTTGAGCGCCGCGTAGCTTAGGGGAGACTAAGCCTCCAAATACCGACAGAGATTTAGCTCGTTCTTTCTTGATCTGGAGATTAACACTCCGAATTTGTAAGATTTAGCTCGTTCTTTCTACACTTCGAAAAGAAGTAGAGTTTGTGCAGAAGGTTAAATGATTGCTCACCTCTTCATCAGCTGCTAAAATGGTTTCATCCTCGGCTGATGGTTTCTCTTCTATCAAATTACAAAAGAAAGAAATTAAACAACGACAAATAAAAGGCACATAATAATCAACAGATAAGTCTCGTTTACCAGAAACTCCTCGATGTCGTAGCTGTTGGCTGAGAGGTGAGCCTATCTCCGAATCTGTATCAGAAGTAGAGAAGTCTTCGCCTTTCCCGCTACCACCCTTGGAAGCCCACTTGGACAAAGCAAAACGTGGTACTGATCCCAAAGATTCAACTACAAGATTTGCATAGACTTATTATTATGTAAGAGGCTTCCCCGCATTTAAATGTAAGGCATTGAACAAACCAAACGCTCAGAGCATAAGTCAAACTTACCCTCTTGGTCTGTGACTTGCAATGTTGAAGCAGCGGGATGATACTTGAGGTCTAAGAGAGTGCTGTTGATACGTAAAGTTCCCATAGAGTGTCGAGCACTAGCTAGATCAAACCATCCCTGCAGAAACAACACATTTCAGAAAGTTTCTGTACCAATAGGTTTAATTAAGGCAGAGTACTATCCTAATATCAGTGATACAATTTCAGAAAAGGTTACAAAAAAAAAGAGGCTTCCAGAAGCTAAACTCATACAAGAAGTCTAAAATTTGAAATGAATTATAAGAGACCCAAAATTAATCACTCACAGACAAAGTAACACCTTCCATAGATAGAGATCATCTTATTGTTTATCGATCAACACAAGACAAATCAGCTTCGAATTAAACACAAAAATCATGTAAAGTAATGATACATACAAAAATCATTTTCGCTTGATCAGGAAACAAATTGAAACATTCCCATTTACCTCTCGAAGCTTAGAATTCAAGGAATCCATAAGAGTCAGATACCCATCCAACGAATCTAGAAAATGCAACACGTTCTCATCTTCTTTCCCTTCAGTTTTCATTGCAGCTACCTTATCCACCACATCCATGGATTCTTCTCTTTCCTCGTAAATCTCAGCTCCTTCATCTCCCGCCATCGCGATATAGCTCCCCACAACACACAAGAAACAACGAATCAAAGCTTATACAAACCGATCGAGCGAGAGAGACAGAGAAAGCAAGGCTCGAGACTCGAGAGTAAACGGGGCTATTTACGTAATAAATATTTAAATTAAAACTAAAAAGGCCCATTAAGAAAACTAAAAGCCCATTAAGCGGGTCAAAGCCGGGTATGTTTGTGGGTGGGTAGCAAAGCAAGTCGAGAGAGAGAGAGAGGAGAGAGTGTAGTGTGTACACACAGCAAGCCAGGCTGGTTGTCAAGTTGGCGTTTGGTGGCTCCACGTCTCTGGTCTCTCTCTCTCTCTCTCTCTTTGTCTCTCTCATGACTTTTCGATTTTAGTCAACCTTTCGTATTTTCTCTCTAAATTTTTCTTCAACCCATCTTCTCTGTTCTTTCCTCTTCGCTTTTACCCGTCTCTCTCGTTATCGCACGGGGGATAGAACAATTCGAGCTCGAATTTTAGAGTAGGGGCAAGCTCGATTGCTTGCAATTTGGATCCATGGATGACGAAGCACTCACACTTTCTCGCGCCGTTTTTCCTTAAAGGAGATTAAACAAGTGGTCTTTTTTTCAAATTGTCAACTTTGACGAATCGGTTTTTTTTTTTTTGTTCTCTTATCTGTACAAGCTTTGAGGCGCTTCTTCCATTGGAACTGGTTGGTGTGCTTTTTCCTCACTCTCTCTCTCTCTCTCTTTTGGTATTTTTGACATGCTCATTGTTTGTTTGTTTGTTTTATTTTGTGTGTTCCGGTGTCCATTATTATTGCTAAGTTTGGTAATCTTGCTATATTAGGGTTCATGGAAATGATAGATATTGGGGCACTCGTGCTTTTCGTTGATATACTGAGTTTTGTTTTCTTTTGCTGCCCAGGAACTTAGTTAAATCTGGTATTATCCCCTTTTTGTGTTTCCAAACTTTCTCCTTCACTTCCTCTCAAATTTGGACGCTTTTTTGTTACCTGACTATTTGCATTTTATGAATCCAGTTTCTTGCTTTTAGTTGGCTGTTATTAACCCTGCTTTCCGTAATCTTGAGGTATTTGCTTATTATTATTTGCAGTGAGTGTGAAGGATTAACATGGTTGGAAGCTCGGATGGTAACCAGTCAGATGATAGCTCTCAGTTTGAGCGAGGGGTAGATCATATCTATGAAGCCTTCATCTGCCCATTGACAAAGGAGGTTATGCATGATCCTGTCACTTTAGATAATGGTCGAACATTCGAGCGCGAAGCCATTGAAAAATGGTTCAAGGAATGTCGGGACAGTGGGAGACCTCCATCTTGCCCTTTGACTTCTCAGGAGCTGAGCAGCACTGATGTTAACCCCAGCATAGCTCTGCGTAACACTATCGAAGAGTGGAGATCCAGGAATGACTCTGCCAAGCTTGACATTGCTCGTCAGTCATTGTTTCTAGGAAATTCTGAGACCGACATTTTGCAAGCTTTGATGCATGTGCGACAGATTTGCAGGACCATCCGATCAAATAGGCAAGGTGTACGCAACGCTCAGCTTATCCGTATGATCATTGACATGTTAAAGAGTACTAACCATAAAGTGCGCTATAAGGCTCTACAAACTCTTCAAGTTGTCGTTGAAGGAGATGACGAGAGCAAGGTTGAATCTGATTTCTCTTGTTCTCTGCCAAAAATGGTTCATATAGCATTGTAATGGAAAATTAAGTGGTTGCTAATTAATGTTTCAGCATATTGCAGGCTATAGTAGCTGAAGGAGACACTGTGCGTACACTAGTTAAGTTCTTATCACATGAGCCATCAAAGGGGAGGGAGGCAGCTGTTTCCTTGCTGTTTGAGCTCTCTAAATCAGAAGCTTTGTGCGAAAGAATTGGTTCCATTCATGGAGCACTTATATTGTTGGTTAGTCTGACAAGCAGCAACTCAGAAAATGTTTCAATTGTTGAGAAAGCTGATAGAACCTTGGAAAACATGGAGAGGTCAGAGGAAATTGTTAGGCAGATGGCTTCATATGGTAGACTCCAGCCTCTTCTAGGAAAAATCCTTGAAGGTGACCAATCCCTACTTTCTTAACGATCAGCTGAAGGAATTCCTTTCTTTGCTTGGTTTTAGCTTAAATATATTTTCTCTGCTTCATTTGCACCAAACATAGTATCACCTTCCTTCAGTCATTCTGATGCATAACGGTGTTATGGTATTCTGCCTTATAATTTGTTTGCTCTAGGAATTTTACATGTTCGCTTGTAAGAAACTGTCCATTTTCTTGGTCAAATCTTCAATTATTGTCCTCTGTTATGGCGAGTTTCATGCATGAATAATGACACCACATGTGAAACATGATCTGCAGGTTCACCTGAAACAAAAGTCTCTATGGCTTCCTTTCTCGGGGAGCTTCCCTTAAATAATGATGTGAAGGTTCTTGTGGCTCAGACTGTGGGTGCTTCTCTTGTCGATCTTATGAGAAGTGGTGACATGCCCCAACGGGAAGCTGCCTTGAGAGCTCTTAACAAAATCTCATCGTTCGAAGGGAGCGCTAAGGTCTTGATCAGCATAGGAATTCTCCCCCCACTTATCAAAGATCTGTTTTATGTAGGGCCAAACAACCTTCCAATTCGGTTGAAAGAAGTCTCTGCCACTATTCTTGCTAACATAGTGAACATTGGGTACGACTATGACAAAGCCACTCTTGTTTCAGACAACAGAGTGGAGAATCTGCTCCATCTAATTAGCAACACTGGTCCAGCGATCCAGTGCAAGCTATTGGAGGTTCTTGTAGGACTCACCAGTTGCCCAAAAACAGTTCCAAAAGTTGTTTATGCAATTAAAACCTCCGGTGCAATCATCAGTTTGGTTCAGTTTATCGAGGTCCGAGAGAATGATGATTTGCGTTTGGCTTCCATAAAGCTTCTTCATAACCTTTCCCCATTCATGAGTGAAGAACTAGCTAAGGCCTTATGTGGCACTGCTGGACAACTCGGAAGCCTTGTTGCAATCATTTCAGAGAAGACGCCCATCACTGAAGAACAGTCTGCAGCTGCTGGGCTCTTATCTGAATTGCCAGATAGGGATTTGGGTCTCACTCAGGAAATGTTAGAAGTCGGTGCTTTTGAAAAAATATTCTCCAAAGTGATTGGAATCCGCCAAGGGGATATCAAGGGAATGAGGTTTGTGACTCCTTTTCTGGAAGGGCTTGTGCGTATACTTGCTAGGATTACTTTTGCTTTCAACAAGGAGACTCGGGCCATTACCTTTTGCCAAGAGTACAATGTTGCTTCGCTCTTCCTTCATCTGCTTCAGTCCAACGGTCAAGATAACATCCAGATGTTTTCTGCCATGGCTTTAGAGAATCTGTCACTAGAGTCTATAAACCTGACACGGCTGCCGGATGTGCCTCCTCCAAACTACTGTGGCTCGATCTTTTCATGTATGAGCAAACCACATGTAATAACCGGGCTGTGCAAGATCCACCAGGGAATATGTTCATTAAGAGAAACATTTTGCCTCGTCGAAGGAGAAGCTGTGGAGAAATTAGTGGCTTTATTAGACCATGGAAATAGTAAAGTGGTTGAGGCCACACTAGCAGCTCTTTCGAGCTTGTTAGAAGACGGGTTAGATGTAGAGAAAGGGGTCAATATACTTGGTGAAGCAGGCGGAATACTGCCTATACTAACCGTTCTGAAGGAGAACCGATCAGAGAAGCTGACGAGGAGAGCTGTTTGGGTGGTAGAAAGGATATTGCGGATTGAAGACATAGCAAGAGACGTCGCAGAGGACCAGACCCTAAGCGCTGCACTTGTGGACGCTTTCCAAAACGCTGATTTTAGAACTCGACAGATTGCTGAGAACGCATTGAAACACATCGATAAGATCCCAAACTTCTCAGGTATATTCCCAAGCATGCAATAGGGGGATTTCTTTGAATATGTTCAGTGAGTTTTTAGTGATTTAAAACTGTGGTTTTTGTTTTGATGGGATTACTTGTTAATAGGCATCCAGTTTTTGCTGGGTATATATATATTGTAAATTTCGATTCTTGTTTGCGTGTGCTTTAAGCTATTTGATTTGTTTGTTTATAATTACATCCTACGTTGGAACTCGTAATCAGTTGGTCGGCCTCAGAGTAAAAGCCATACGTTTGTAAAGGAAACTGTGCTTATTTTTCCATGACATATAATATTAAGGTCATTTGATCAAAAAAATAATAATAATATTAAGGTCACTGGTTATGATATAAGATTAAACCAATTTGTAGAAAACCTAAAGCTTCACATAGACTGATCCATCTATATCTACAACATGAATCGTCTAAGTTAAATCCCGCAAGTTTAACACCATGAAGTAGAATATCTTCAGAAAGCAGATATTCTATGTTTTTTTTACGACGATTTGTAATGGCATAGAGTTTGATACCCTGAAAGAGGCTAGAAGCATGTTTGCACATATTCCACTCGTGACACGATCTTGTCCTTCCTTGCATGTTAAAGAAGATCTTGGAAGGCCTCCATCATCTTGAACATTAGTTTCGTTGCTTCTTTAACATGAGTTTAGTTTCTTCTTCCTCAATCGATCTTTTTCTAAGTTGCGTTGCCTCCTTCTCCTCCGATGAGTTTCCAACAAGCAGTCTCATAATCGAGCTTAGAGAGGAGATGCGTTTATCATCATCACAAGGCTTCAGCTTCTCATCCAACCCAATCACAGATGAAGAGGACGGTGTAAACAGATAAAAGTCCCCGTTCGAACAGAACCACTTTGGAATATAGCCCATGACTCCCCACTTGTTAGCTTTCAAGTCGTACTGATGAACTACATCGCCGGAGACGTCATGATTCTTCTCCCTCAACATTAAAAAATTTCTGTTGTAAGCCACAACGTTCCAGAAGATGAGTCTCTTTGTGTCCGCCACTACGTTCCCTATCCGCCTCACTAGAACCCACTTGGGGTCAGTGAAAATATTCTCCAGGCCGTAAACGTAAATTACTTCGTTCGTCGGCCATATCAGTGTTAGTTTGTTATCAGTGGCGGCAAACAATGTTTTCACAGTACTAGGTTCTTGCGGAAATTTAGTTGAAACCAGCCGTGCCTTCTCTGTTTCGAGGTTGAATGCTAAGATGCTTCCGTCGTTTCTCAACCAGTGAAGAGATCCGTTTACGTAAACAGGTCTCGTACGCTTACCGAAATTGCTTGAGCGGCAAGTCACTGTGGTTTTTGACATTCTCCATGAATCTCCCTCGTTAATCTCGAACTGATACATTGTTTCACCTGGATTCCTAGCCTCGCTACCTTTTACGCAGACAATTTTGAATCTCTGAGATGTTCTATCAATCTGATCAACCGCGAAACCTATGCACGTCGTTTCTTTCCAAGGAACAACTACACGGTTAGTTACCATAGGGAAAAGATTTGACTTAGAGTGATCCAGGAATCGAAACTTCTTAGTGAAGGGATTTGCGACGCAGAGGCCTTGACCGAAGAGTAATAGAAGGCCAGAGCAAGAGCCTAGAACCTGATAGCTTATTAGGGTTTCCAGGGATCTCGTTGACGTAGAACCGAAGAAAGGGAGGTAGCAGACCAATTTGGAGCCATAGCTACTGATGTAAAACAAATTGGATCCGACCCGAGAATTGTATTCAGACTTAAAATACGGGTCTTCGGATAGACGTGAGCGGAAAGATTTATCTGTGCATTGCATCTTCCCAAGAGTTTTGAGATCCATTCTGAAGAGAATCTCATTGACGAGATGCGAAGGTAAGCTATCCATCGGAGAAGGAACACAAACTACAGAGCTGTTGCGTCGCCTTTTGATGTATAATTTATACTTTGTAAGTTGGTGCTTCTGGTACTGTTTAAGAGCATATATATGTACTCTATATATATACTGTATAGAATAAGCAAATTCAACAAGGAATCCAATTTGGCGAGATAAACCCATTCATATTAGGAAAAGGATGGGTTAATAAGACTTAATAGGTTTGACAAGAAAAAGGGCAACGTTTAATATTTAATTTGTTTAAAGAAGAAAAGTTTTCCATATATTGTCGCCAATCTCCTCAAGCGAAGAACTTCAAAATCACCTCAGGGGACAAGACCGCCTACATCTTGTCATCTTGACAAGGACTTGATTACTTTCTTATGGAAATCAAGCAATGACACTTTCACACTATAGTTCTGTACTTCCCAACAACACTTGGCAGCTCTTTTGTGAATTGTGATTCTCCCTACAGTTTCGAGGATTCTATGGTATGGCTCACTCACTTTCAAGAGGGGCAAAACCACTTACACTTAGAGTCCTTACTCTCAAGTTACTCGTTTAGGTGATTCTTTACATTAAAACCAAAACAAAATTTATTGACTATATGTTATGGATTTGTAAAATAAGTTAGAATAAACAAAACTATTGATCCCCACTTTGGTTGTTGTTAGGTTTGACAAAAGCATACTAATGGGTCCTTAACGAAAATTGTGTAAGGAGAAAGTTCTGAAAGCCCATGTACACACACTTACCATACTTCAATTCTACGTTGGATTAAAGACAGTAGGGTGAGGAAGGTGAGAAAAGATACACAGAACAGAAGACTAGCGTTACTAGAGAGTGAGAGATTAAACAATTTGTGAAGTCAGTTAACAATTTGTGGTCTCTCTTCTTAATTGTTTCCAATCGTTTCTCAAATTTTCAACAATGGTTCAATTTATTCACTTCAATTTTTTCTTCTGGTAAAATAAACGAGAAACTAAAAAAACATGCATACAGTAAGTAATATACTGCAAAATTACAAGAGAAACACTTAAAAGACTTCTAAACATTAACCAAAATAATTAGTTAACGCCATACGAATGTTTTTCTACTGGTTCTTCTTCTTTTGGTGATTCTCCTCTCGTCTGGGAAATTGAAAGAAGGCTCATCCATCACCATCTTCAATTCCGTATCTTCTTCTTCTTCAACCATCAATCTTTTTCCAAGTCGCTTTTCATTTTTCTTCAACCACGTTACAGCATAAGGTGAGATAACATCAATCACTCCCATAATTTTCCTTAGAGAGGAGATGCGTATACCATTATCACCTTGAACCATTTTCCTCTTTCCAACGTCCACCGTCTTAGTCAGTTCTATCGCAGAGGATAAAGACAGTTTAAACTGGTAAAATGATTGAGAACCATCGCACCATTGTGGAATCGAACCTATGACTCCCCACTTGTCAGCTCTCAAATCGTACCCATGAATAGTTCCTTGGTAACGTCGCTCCTTTATCACCCTCACCACTAAACTCTTGCCATCGTACGCCCCAACGTTCCAGTACTCCGTCCTCTTTTTGCCCACCGCTTCGTTCCGGATCCGCTTCACCAAGACCCACTTGGGATCGATGAGAATATTCTCAAGGGAATAAACGTAAATCACTTCCTCCGTCGCTGATATCAATGCCAGCTTGTTCTCTGCGGCGGTGAACAAGTTCTTCGGGCTCAGCTTTGGGGGGAAACTGATAGGGATGAGCCGTGCTTGCTCTGTTTCTGGATTGAAAGCTAAAATGCTTCCGTCCTCCCTGAGCCAGTGAATAGACCCGTCCAAGTAAAGGGGTTTCTCGTCAGCCATGAGATCGCTTACTCTGCAAGTAATAGTTGTCTTGGACAATCTCCAACAAGAATCACCTGTGGTTATCTCGAACTGATACATCGTTTCCTCAGGATTCGAAGAAGACTCTTTCATGCAGACAACTTTGAACCTCTGAGTTGCTGGATCAATTTGATCAACCGCAAAACCAATGCGATTCATTTCTTGCGATCCGAGACTGAATCTTACATTTCCCCTTCTATCAGCAACACGAGAAAGAAACTTTGATTTAGTGTGGTCAAGGAACCGGTACCTCTTGGTGAGCGGATTCGCGACACAGAGACCAGTCATGAAGAAAAGGAAGAGGCCAGAGCAAGAGCAGAGAATCCGAGTCGTGACCTCAAAGAAGTCTTTGTTGCTGAATAACGTAGAATCGCCATAAGGGTAGCCGAAGAGGGTGGTGGAGCCATATCTGGAGATGTGAAGCAAACCGGCTCCGACACGAGACAAGTACTCGGATTTGAAATATGGATCGTCGGATATGTGCGAGTAGAGAGATCGACCTGTGCATTGCACCATCACCAGAGATTTTGGATCCAATCGGAGGAGAATCTGATCGAGGAGATTTGATGGTAAGGTTTCCATGGTCGGAACTAGGGGGAAGAAATTTAGGGTTTTTGCTTACTTCTTTAATGTTTGATTTGTTGCTTCTGATGATGTTTGATGTTACAGTGATAATGTTTTTTTTTTATAGACTGTAATTAATTAATTATTTTTAACAAAAAAATCCAATAAGGAAAGGTTCTTTTGGAAGAAAAATGAAATATTTAGAAGGAAATCATGATTATTATTCATTTCCTTTTTTTTAACAAATTGACTATGTATTTTTCTTGATTACATTGTATGAGTAAATAAAGATGGATGACCAAAAGAAATTAAAAAGAGTAATAAAGATTTTTCTCTTGAAAAAAGGAGATACTACAATCTGTAACGCCTAAAGGTTTATAAAGTCATGCATTAACATTTTAAAACTTAAAAAGTAACACTCATCAGATTCTATTAAACTCAGAAAAATATTAGATAACATAAAATTATAATAAAGTCTTTTTAAAAAATCTCAAATAGATGGATTGTTATACGGAAAAAAATGTAAGAAACGGTAACAGCGTATTCTTCTTAACTAATCAACTACGTAGTTCAGTGGTAATGAAAAGTTGGAAAGGTGATAGAAATATCTTCAAACTTTTTTCCGAAAAATATGCTAATAAGAAGGATCATTAATTATGTATTTCTTCTGTACCAGAGAGAAAACAACATAAAACATGTGTCGCTAGTTTAACTTTTTGTATAACGTCTAACCAAATTTAGTCAGACAGACACATGCATGTATGTTTCTCACAAAGTGATACGAAATTTGTGAAGTAGACTCTTTAGTCTCTTGTTCTTTTGTTGGAAGAAGGCTCATGTCATGCATATATGATATATCCATCATCATATCATATCGTCAGTTTCGTTTCTTCTTCAGTTATCAATTTTTTCCAAGTGGCGTAGTTTCGTTTGTTCTTAAACAGGTTCTGAATAATGGTTGGATTTCACCAATCGAACTCATAAATTTGCTTAGAGGCTTAAGAGTGGCCGAGATGCGTTCATCATCATGATTCATGAACCATGCATCGTTGTAACTAGTTATCTCGACGTCCACCGTCTCGTTTACTTCTATCGATGAGGTTTTGGGGAACTCGGTTTAAATAAACAAAAATCAAAATTAAACACCACTATTTAATCGAATACATGACTCCTAGCTTCCCATTTGTTATAGTTTTCCAACTATAGCTCCTTTTGTTACTACTTGAATATTTTTTCTCTGCATAAGAAAACACAACTCTTAAAATTGTATTACACGTCAGCAAGAATTAGCCGCAACCGCAATACTTAATTTGGTCTACATGACTCTTCTTCTTTTGTTGATCCTCTCCACGTCTAGGAACTTGGAAGAAGGCTCGTCCATAACCATCATCATCGTTTCTTCTTCAATCATCAATCTTTTTCCAACTCTCTTTTCCTTTTTCTTGAAGAAGCTCTGACCATATGGTGAGATTTTCCCACTAATCAGTCTCATTATTTTGCTCAGAGAGGAGGAGATGTGTTTATCATCATCAGTAGCATTAACCATCGTCACGTCAACGTCAACGTCCACGGACAAAGACGGTTTGGACTTATAAATCACTCGTTTACCATCGTCCCACAGAGGGATCCAACTCAGAACTCTCCACTTGTTATCTCTCAAGTCGTACCCATCATTAACCTCTCCCTCGTCGTAACGGTCCTTCTTAAATACAGATTTGAAATACGGATCGTCGGTTATATGGGAGTTGATAGATCGATCCGTGCATTGCATCATCACTAGTGATTTTGGATCCAGTTTGAAGAGAATCTCTTCAAGGAGGTGATAAGGTAAGCTATCCATGGTTGTTTACTTGCTTCGGCTTCTCATGACATTACAGTGTTTATCTAAGTATTTATAGAGACGTAAGGGAAACTTGTTTGGCAAGATAGTCCCGTTAAAAAAAGGAAAATATTTTTGTATAATGGATACTCTCCTTTTCAATAATGTCATATGTTTTGCCTTTTGCCGTTTTGCGAGACCAAACCTAAAACTATGGTCAGCGAAAAGGGTACAAGGGTCATTTACAGCAAAGTAAGTTACAACGAAACGACTGTGTTTTATGGACGCATCGCTTCTTTTCACACTATCATTAGGGGTAAAAGGGTCATTGACTCACGGAACTGGGATATGGATATGGATATGGTGCTCGGAGCTGGGTTTGTGAACAGAGTTCTATGCTTCTTCATCAATGGCTTCAATCAGTAGCTTATACAGATGTGTATCGAATCAAGACGCTCGTCTTCCTCGAATCCGTTCGAGTTCTGAGGCCGATCAATCTCGACCCAATAATCAGATGTTCTCCATTTCGGTTCCCATATCCAGAAGAGACGCGAGTATTATCTTCCTCAGTTCGCTTCCATTGACGAGCTTCTTCTTTATTCCACCAAGCTCTTCAGAAGCAAGAGAGAGACGGAGCAGAAAAGTTATCCCTCTCGAGGAATATTCCACTAGCCGTTAAGTCCCTCGCTCTCTTCTTAGCTATCGGTTCGTATTCCGCACATACTTTCATAGTTGGAGTTTAGAATTCGTTATATCTGAGTCTCGATTCCTTTTTAAGTTTCGAAATTAGACTTCTTTGGTTTTGCCCATGATTAGTCTCTTGCTGTATTGGGTTGCGAGAGTTCTGATGATGCGACCAAATTGTGAATTTGGGGAAGAAACGACTAAATGATTTGATTGGCTTGTATGGGGAGTTTCTAGAGATTGTAAACATATACTGAAGCTCGTTATTCTTTTTTTTTTTTTTTTTCTATTCTTGCAGCTGAAGGGTTGAAATACTATGACATTGAGGAAGGCAAAGGTCCAGTAGCTACAAAAGGATCAACTGCTCAGGTCTCTCTTATGATTCACATAATTTCTCTAAATCGAAATTGAGTATTCAGTCACATTTACATTGTGTAATGCACCCTTCTTTGCCACATTTAGGTGCATTTCGATTGCCGTTACAGAAGCATCACTGCAATCTCAACTCGAGAATCCAAGCTTTTGGCTGGAAATCGTAGTATTGCTCAGGTTACCTTTTGTTTAAACTTTCTGACTTTGCTTAGTTTTCGAGTATTCTTCTCCTTTGATGGTGGCTCGCTTTCTCCTGTGAACAGCCTTATGAGTTTAAGGTCGGGTCTACGCCAGGAAAGGAAAGGAAACGCGAATTCGTTGACAATCCAAACGGGTTGTTCTCTGCACAAGCTTCACCAAAGCCTCCTCCAGCAATGTATTTCATAACCGAAGGAATGAAAGTCGGTGGCAAGGTTGAAAAACATCGCTGCATTTTCGCTTTCTACTTCGTTTCAAAATGTAGTTACTTTGCAATGTAAGTAGTTCTTGACCTTTTTGTTTTGTTTTGTTTTGTCTCTGCAGAGAACTGTGATTGTTACTCCTGAAGCTGGTTATGGCCAGAAAGGGATGAACGAGATACCGGTGAGAACCTACTACAAATTGTATATGAGGAAAGCTCCGTATTTTGCAGAAAACTAATTTACAAAATGTGGTATAGTGATTCGGGTTTGATAGAAAATAAAAACATGTATGTTATTGCAGCCTGGAGCTACATTTGAGTTAAACATAGAGCTGCTTCAGCTGAAGCCCCCAGAAGAGAAATGAAAACAGATAAGAGAAGTTTGAAGCTTCAAGCATTGTCCCAACATTTGTGTAAAGATAACAGAGGAGAAAAGAGAGAGAGAGATATATGTAATTTTTTGGAGTCTTTGGTGTCTGGTTATACACCAAACTCTGGTACACTAAATAACCGGTATATTTGTTGCACTAAAATCTAGCGTGGGAGCTTCTCGTTGTTTGTTAAACCTGCTTGTTGAGACTTCGAATGTGGGATTAGGTGGGTTGGTGTGGACATAGAAACCAAACCAAACCAAACCAAACCAAATCAAATAATTTCAAATGGTTTGAAATCACAAACAGAACTGAAGAAAACCAAATCGAATGTCTAAACCATTAGTTAATTTGGTTTTAGTTTGACAATATGTTGTAAACCGATAATAAACCGATATGGTTGTGGCTTTGCTTTGGTAAGTGATATGTCCCCGGTAGCTTCTTTTCCCGAGAAAATCAACTGAGAAAAAAAAAATGGAGACTTCTCTGAGATATGCTACCAATTCCAGGTCTTTGAAAATTCTTGCCAAGGAGAAGTTCCCGGTGAACTCCAAAACTCGCCTGCAGGTGAGTTTTTCTTCAAATTAGTGCCTGTTATGGAGGATTTTAGCACTAATTTTTACCAAACTACTTCGCTTTGTCTTGTAACACTCTTCAATTTGGTTGGGATTTCTTCTTTTGGTTTTCTCCCCCAGATGTGAGTGTTGTTAAATGCCCAAAAGCCTCTTACTTGAGATTTTATGTGCTATGATTTTGAGTATTTGAGTATTTAGAAAGTACCATTTTAGTGATGAGATAGGAGGCTATTAGAGGTCTTTAGTCTTTAGCAGAAGAATATAGCTGTTTAGGCTGAAAGAAGAATCTATAGCTTTTTGGAAGTTAATACTTTAAACCTGTTCTTTTGGCTACGTTTTATTCTCTTATCAAGAGATATATAGCAAAGACTGTTTGTGTTCTTACTTTTCTTTTGTTGGTTTGTACATTTGTGATTAGCTTCATGGAGAGCTAGATACAGGAGCTGGAGTGCCAAGTTACTTGTGTGCAATGATTAGACACCTTTTCCCCAAGGTTTTGATCTTACTTTTGTGTTTTATCTTTTTCCTTTCTTGAGCTCTTTGAACCTTTTACAACCAGTTTTAATGCCACGAATAAATTGCTTACAGGCTTCAACAAGCCTTGGAGTAGGCTTGCATTATGATAAACGCGAAAAGCTTCGGTGTCTTGTACGTGGGAAAAAGAAGTTTCCTGTGGTAACTGATGAGTTTGTGACCTTTAATATCAAAGGAAGATGTGATTTTGACCAGGACTTTGTTCAGGTTTGCCTCTTTCGTTTTACATCAGTAATATATGCTTCTTAAAAATCAACAATGGACTGAGATTTTGTGGTCAGAGGAACGCTAAAGGAGCTGCTGAATTTGACTGGAATATATGGAAGTTTCAAAAAGATCAGGATTTACGCCTCAGAGTTGGCTACGAAATGTTTGAGAAGGTACGCTTGAGCTCACCGTTTAACAGAAGAGAGCAATGGCTCTCACTGGATCATTGAACACTAACTGTTGGCTTCCCTCTGTTACAGATCCCTTATATGCAGATTAGAGAAAACAATTGGACTTTCAACACGAATTTGAAAGGAAAATGGAATGTGAGGTTTGATCTGTAATGAGTAAACAAGTGAGATCACATTTTCATGTGTATCCTTTTGAGAAACGTATTACTGATAGAAAAACTCACTCTGATTCAACCAACTGACAGCAAATTCAGAGATCGTCGCTTATCATATATCACTTTTACTCTTGCAACCATCTCTGAACTTGGATGTCTCCTAGTCTCATATAGCTTCCATGTGTAATAGAATCAGTATCCAACCAGGTTTGACTAAATGTGTGGTCTTTAAAACCCACTGATGTTCCTTAGAGATCTCCTTTTACTTTGTGGTACTGTTATAGGTAACCGGGAAATACATACCAAATCGAACCAACTAATCTTCTCTTAACTGTACCAAATAAGATGCACTTTGTATTCCAAAATTTCTAAACATAAGTATATTCACAACCAAACATCATAAATCCTGTCATCTCAAGTCGGTATAGTTTGGTTTGCTTCACGGTTTTGGTTGACTTTGAGATCGTGATGCTTCTAATATGAGCCTCGAACATCAACATCAGTACCATATTGACAAAACGAGTCCCACACGCACACATGTGAAGAAGATCTTGTTCTATAAAGATTTGCTTCTGATGGTCATGAATCAAAGATCTTTCATAATACCACAAGGCCACAATGACCAAGAAATCAACCATTAGTTTTCAAATCGAAGCCAACAGTAAATCGATTAAAAAATGACATAATCAACATATTTTGGTTAGTTGTTGGCGGTTTTTAACTAAACATCACGTGATTTCTATGCATATTAAAGTCCTAAACAACGATTTAGTAGAGGCAGCTTTATATTCCAACATAATAGGGTCTCTATAGTATCTTGTTTTATAGTCTACATATAATTATTAGATAATGTTCGGATAATCTCAAGTCATGATTAACCAAAAAAAATAATTTGACTACGATTGTGAAATACTCGAAGGCCATCTTGAAAACTAGGAAATTGCTAAAGTCATTGTCATGAACCGCGGGATGTGGCTTAGAGAAATTTCGTGCCCACAAGTGACTGAATTTGGTCAATTTGGCTGCAATATTTTTTCAAACTTGCAATAAACTAATTAGTGGAGGAATGAAGTTTCCTCCTCGCTCTGACTATTTTTATATACGCGAGATGATTATATAGACTTACCCCATAATCATTTATATATTGTCTGCAAAAAAAGTGTTTGTAAAGTGACATGTTATTACGATGTGATCTTCGTGTTAATTATCCCATATTTTATAAAATTTTAAAGAGAGAATGATAGAGCATGTGGGGAGAAGAAGAAGTGGGCGGTGCGAAATCTGAAAGTGGAGAGTGCACTGAGAAGAAGAGGGAAAGAGTCAATCAGAAAATTAATACTCAATTTTTAATTTTTCTCCGAGTTACTATATTTGGAAACCCCTGATTCACACGTTTCTCCTCCTTTGCTTCTCTTTGGAAGGTTATATTAACCTGTTAATTTGGTTTTTTTGTGTAACCCCTTAAGCTAATAAACTTATAAGTTATAATCATTAGTAACTGTAGTAGGTTACTAGTTAGTTTTAGTAACTTTCAGTTTTCTATCTATTATGTTAGCTTATCAGCTAATTTAGAGAAAAAAACATATATAATTGTATTCTTTTTTTTTTTGGCAATCATATAATAGTGTATTCACAATACATATTATTAGGGTAACAATTTTTTTAAGCGACGCATATAAATTATATTGATGAACTCGTTGTTAATTAGTGTCACGTTTAAGGTGTTTCCGTTGCTTCCCTCATTCCACTAAAGAAAACATTCTAAACAATTTTTAAAAACAAATGAACTATAAAATGATATCAAAACTAGAAAACCTTTAAGAGAAATATTGACAAGTGTATCTCCACTCTCTTCACCAATTCGTTGAGTCTCTTACACCTGTTATTTTAAAGTTAGTTATGTATCATCATCGGACACAAAAGGTTATAAAAACCATTGACAAGAGAGTAACGTAACACGAGGACGACCATATATTCGGCCGATTCTGGTTACTGTTCTCCACATAGTTGTTATAATTAGAACATATAGACTATATTATACATACATAAACCATACGACACTATATTTGTACATTTGAATGCACATTACATATGCACTATGTAATAGAGAGTATATTTGTATAAGGAAATTTCCGAAAACATATATAGAGTGTCGTACTGCAGTTTGAACACAAGCACGCAATCTTCTTTTCCTAAAGCCGGTTGACACGTATCAGTTAATTGTTTCCTCTACAAAAGTAATGTACCGCAAAAGCCATTCGCCATATTCGGCTATCAAAGGTAAACGAATAAGATAGTTGAAGCACGTAAGAAATCGCTTACAAAACTTGAGATTAACATAAATATATATTAACTAACTTAAATAAAAGTTTCCTTTGTTAAATAACTTAATTAATACAACTTTTCTGGTTTCCGAATAATAATAATAATGAATCAACTAGCATTAACGAATAAGAATCATACTATTTCTCTACAAGAGCGCAGTCGTCATTACTCTTTCCTACCAAAATCATCAGTTGAATAGATACTTAAAACTATCAAATTAGTGGTTCAACCTAATATAATTCGTTTAAAGAAATCGATTAAAAGTATAAACCAATAAAACGTTGGAAAGTTTTGTTGAGTGCAAAATGTAGGATCTTACTATGGACGGTTCGAGTTAAATTGGCATCTGCAATGCTCTCTTTTCTTTACCAGGGCATATTTGATCTTCACTAAGACTCTACCTTTTTATTGATTTTTTTTTTTTTTTTTGTCATAGCCTTTGTAATTTACAACCACCCAATCCATGGAGTTTTATTTATTTTACCTTTTTGGTCAAGAGAGCATTTCACCTTTGCACTTTGAATGGACCATGTGACAAAAAAAACACACACACACACACACACATTCGGTCATACCAAACAAAAATAGGTGATTTCTTCCATCTATTATAGTGATAGTATTAGCTAAAGTTATTCCCATTGTATACTTAGTTGTATAGTGTTTGGTGTTGATTGCTTACATGAGTTATTTTAAATTAATTTGATTATAATCTTTGTTTTTTCAGAGACAAAAGTGTTGTTGATCTTATGTTTATAATTTAAAACTGACGTTACATAGTAGAAAATATACTTAAGACATGCTCTTCGATCATTTTTAGGTGTCCTGGAGTCAAAGGGAAGTATTGATTAACTGACGGAAGAATCTTCGGTTACAGTTTGTAGTTCCCAACATCTCATGCATTGCCCAATGACAGAGAAATTCACAACAATCCCACAGTTTTTCAGTAACATAAGTCAGGCCATGCACCGAAATATATGGTCAGGCCATGCACTACTTTAAATATTGTCTTTCTATAGTTATTGTGTTCTGTTTCTTACACACAATCCAAACTTACCATTCACTCGAACTACAAAAAAAAAAAGAAAAAAAAAAATATTGAAGTAAGAACAATAGTATTAGATTGTGACGAAGACAATAATATCAATAAGATATACAAAGATTTAACATTTTCAATAAGTCTAGAGTGAGCGAAAGCAACGTAACAAGTCATACAAGTGTAAACATCAAATACTATTATTAAACACCAACAGAAGAAGAAAAGAACCGCGTACTAAAATAAATGACTGGAATAACCTTAACCGACAACGATAATTTTAAGACCAAACCAACCAAACTAGTAGAGAAGTCTCTCTCTATAAAAGCCTCTCTGCATCTCTTTCTCATTCCTAAAAACCTCTCATACTCGAAATTCACTCTTTCTTCCACCATTTTTTCAACAGAACACAAACCTATCTCTCTCTCTCTCTCTCCTCTTACTCGCTTCAATGGCACGTCTTCTCTTCCGTCTCCTCGTTGAATCCAACACTCCTTCGGCGCCGGTGGTTGATAACTCCGCCGCTGCTTTGAATTCCGATCTCGTCGTCATCCTCGCTGCTCTCCTCTGCGCTTTGATTTGCGTTCTTGGCCTCGTCGCTGTTTCTCGATGCGTCTGGCTCCGTCGCCATGCAGCCGGAAACAGAACCGCCTCAGGGTCTCCAGGTCAAACTCCTCAACCTCAGGTCGCAGCGGCTAACAAAGGACTTAAGAAGAAAGTCCTCCAATCACTCCCGAAGCTAACCTACTCGCCGGAGTCACCGTCGTCGAAGAAATTCGCCGAGTGCGCCATCTGTCTAGCGGAATTCTCCGCCGGGGATGAGCTCCGAGTTCTGCCGCAGTGTGGTCACGGATTCCACGTTTCTTGCATTGACACGTGGCTAGGCTCTCACTCATCTTGTCCTTCATGCCGTCAGATCTTGGTCGTTGCCAGGTGTCACAAGTGTGGTGGTTTACCCGGTAGCTCTACCTCTAGCCCCGAACCTGAATCCGTACCCGAGATTGAGATCCGAATCAAGCAAGGCGAAGATGATCCCAACTCATTCTTGCCATGATCATTTTTTTTCCTACTTAATTTGGAACTCATTTATTTTAGTTCCCTCTGCTTATTAGAAAAAAAATCTATAATTTAAATGCAGATCAGTGTTTAGTGGGATAGTGCTTTAATATTGTACATTATTTATTGTAATTGTAAGCTGTAAATGTTGTATGAAAATGGAAATTTAACCGATTTGCATTGAACCCTTTTTAGTGCTTTTCGTTTATCAATCAACTCATGTAAAATTGGTAAACAATAATGGATGGACAAGCTTTTGTTAAGTTTACATATTTGACTGGTATTCAAAAGTTTTACGATATATAGGCCGAAATATATGTTTTCCAGTTATGTATATGGAAAAGACAAGAAAATGTCTTTAGAGACGATAATAATATTAATTTTGTTGCATTATACTGTATATATATAATGTCGTTAGAGTCTTAATTTTGATTTCATTCATTTTTTTTTCTTTTCTGTGAAATTATGCAAATTGATACAACGACAATACTTGATTTAAATAAGAAACATAAATGATTTAGAGGAAATAGTATCGGGTCATTAGTGGACACTACAGATCGATAGCCTATTCTAGGAAGCTCAAGTTAGTCAATGGTTTTTGTTTATTCAACAATTAGTCACTAGCTGTAACCACTTGGGATTATTTAATTTATAACATAATGTCTGAATGCAATATTTAACCATTTGAATAAACTTAAGTTTATACCATAAATAAATGAAAGCACCAAAAAAGACGATTTAATCAGGTGATAACATTGATTATTATAGCTAATTAAGGAATATTCCATAGTAAAAATGGGAAAGGTAATCTTGGCCAGTGGGTATGGTACAATTGTATGTAATGTGTGGCTCGTTTTTCACTTTTTCAATTTTCATATTATTTAATATGTAAAGCAACAATGCTAATTCTTCAACTTCTTTCAGTTTTGCTTTTTAGTTTGGTTATAAAATTATTGGGAACACGTACGAGCCTGTGAATGATCGATTTAATCACATAATTTTGATGTGATTAGTGAGTTATCAATTACTATTTTTAAAAATAAAGAAATTATACATTACGCAAAATATCAAACATCACTGGTATTATAATATAATTGTAAAGAGTCAAGATGATTGCAAGAAATTCTCTTTGTCTTGTCTTTAAGCTTTTTATAAGTTTTGACCTAACAAATAGATGGCGGTATCATGCATGTATATGTATATATATTTAAATCAGTATTAGTGAATATATTACGCAGGTGATTAAAGATTGGGGGGATTAATTAATTAGAGTTATTTAGAAACTAATTAAAATGAAGATTATTCGTTTCTTAGGGGAGCCGTTGAATTAAAAATACGGCGGATGGTCCACACGTCACAAGCGTTTCCACTACGGAAAGTGCCCTACTATTTGTGCTTAGTGCTGCTAAACCATTTTGTATATATATATATATAGGGCTATATTTATTAATTTAATTCGTTTTCAGATCGACGAAAACTTATGACCATTAATCTAAAAAGTTCAAATTATAATGGACTGTACAGTGAGAGAAATTATATTATATATATACAGAATATTTTACGCATATTGTCAAATTACTGAAATTTTACTTTCATCCATATCAAAGACGATAATTTGATCTTACTGAAATATTTGATCTATTAGATTATACGAATTCACATGCCTTAATAAATTAATTAAATGTTGTTCATTAGTCTGAAATTCGAACTATGGATATCTCTTTTTTTGTTGGCAATTAGTAACGGATTTTGTAGTTGTGGATCACTTTGTCTTTGTGTGCATGTACTTTTAATCACAGAACATAAACACGATTCCCAAAAGCCATAAACAATTTTGTTGGTAAGACCAATTTTGGGAGGTGTATACAGTATACGGTCATACGGACTATAAAACCTCTTAAGTATTAGCCAAAATCAGAAAATGCGTAACTATAAGGTATAAATTTATCACTACTATTTTTGTTAAACTTGGTTTTATGATTCTCTAAGGATTGGTTTTGGGTTTGATAAAAAAAAAAAAAGAGAGTATATGAGCTTTAAGAGGTATACATGCATTTTGAAAACATTATAGGAGATTCATATATCATGTATAGGGGTTTTTGTTTTTTAGAGATCTGATGAGTATGTACATGAACATGAGGCTCGTGTGAGGTTTTTACGAGGTAGTAGGAATCAATCGAGTGTAAAACAGTCGTTGGTCCATATGTATTCAGTTATGAAGTTCGGTTCTGTATAAAACTAGGTAGATGAGCTTCACGATCATTACAAAAACTAATCTTTTACGTACGATCGATCATTATTTACAAGTGTTGTATATAGTGAAATTTTATCATGAAATTTTGAAAACTAACAAGTGAGAATTAGAAACCAGAAAGGTGAAGAGAATGCTTTATGTTTAGTCTCGAATGGCTATAAATTCGCAGACTAAAATGATGAGAGTTGTAAAGTTTACCAATGAGACTGGAGATTCCCTTATTTATAATGTTCAGCCACTACTATTTTGTGCATTATATTATACTGATTGTTTCTGTTTATTACGTGAACGATTAATAACCACTTTTTAAAAACACAAGTGTTGCAAAATAAACATTTCAATATATATAAAAGATATTTACCCGATCTAGCTTTATATATACCTCTGTTAATTAGTACATTGTCAAATGTTTCAAACTCATAAGTGTTTAATTACATGTCGCAATGACTATATTCACATATTGAAAAACACAACGTTTAACATGTTTGTTAAAATCTTCGTAAACACAATATTGGCAAACTTATTAGTTATTTTTTTTTCTGTTTACGTTTACTATTTGTAAAAACATCATATGAAAACCAAAAAGAAAAAGATTACTACAGTATTTTACATATTTAAAAAGTGTGGATTCATGTCGTGTGTGTGCGCATATGCTAAATAGAAACATAGACAGAGATATAAAATACACATAAAACAAAAATGGCAAAGGCAAAGAATCCATCAAACTCTGTAGTTTATATACTAAGTGTCGACCTTTTAGCACGACTAGAAAGTTCCATTTCTAGGCTAGTGGGGTGGATTCGATGATTTCACCTTTTATATATACAGACAGTGTTTAATTGATCCTTTATGATTTATTAAAGTTTTGTTTCTATTGGAATATTTGATAGTGGTGAAGAAAAAAAAAGAGGAATAAATTAGTTGGTTTATAACGGCCCAAGATGATCTCTTATTGGGCCTATATGTATAGATAATGCACTTATTGGGCCTATATGTATAGATAATGCAAAAAAGTTTTGGGGATTTCCGAATAATTTCGGGGTATTGAACCCGACGTGAATCGAACACGCAACCTTCTGATCTGGAGTCAGACGCGCTACCATTGCGCCACGGATCCCCTTGTTTTATTTAATACATTTAATTTTATATATTCACAAAAACATATAGAGAGACTGAATAAAACATGGAAATTGTTGGTCCTTCGTTTGGCATGAAATGGCGTCCATTGATTCTCTCCAATTCCATTCTCTCTGCAATGTCCAGGTAAAATCGAACCCATCTCTTCCTTCTACTCACAGTTACCACCAGTACTGCTGCGTTCTCCTTTGATTCCTGTTGTTTCGGGTGAATCATTACTTAAATCTCGCGTCTTTTGTTGACCCTAGTCGTCGATTAGAAGAGCCAAGCTTCGGATTCCTTCAAATCTGGTTGTGTTCAGAAGGAGACACGAAAATCTGAACTGGGTTCAAGTCGAAGCTAAGCGAAGGTTCGTGTGCAGAGCGATTGGTGATTCGTCGACTCCAGATGAAGACATTCAGAATACTCAAAATGATGATGAGGTTGTTGTTGTTGCTACGACGCAAAGTAACGTTCCCGGTGATTCCGAGAATTCAGTTTCGAGATTTCGGAGTATGATTATCACTCTCCCTCCTGTCGTCTTCGTGGTATGATTTTCTCTTATCGCTTCAAGTTTTGATTTTTTTTTTCATTATGTAAAAAAATCTGGTTTTGATGGATCTCTCCTTCACTGTGATATCATATTCTTTGATAGTGGAGTTATATATATCGCTCATCTATTATATGCTGTCTAAGTTTTGATTCTTTCCTGACTTATAGTTGGTTAGTTTACTCTGTCCTGAATTGGAATGTTACGCTGCTGCTTAGTATATGTTGTTGAGGTCTAGAGTGGAAAATGGCAAAAAGAACACAGGTTTAGATTCTCTTCTGTTCATTGGAGTCTACGGTACATGGATTTGGGTCTTTATAGTATTTCAAAATCTTCTTGTTTTAGATGAAAAAGTGCTCAGGGAACAGCATTTGGATTGGGATTTGTATCGCAGCTACTGTTTTGGTCGCGGCTATTAGGGTTTATGCAGTTAGAGAGTCAAGAGATAATCAACGTGCTGGCTCGGTCGCTGATCTTGTGAGACGTGGCCAGCTGAGATCTGGTGATAGAAGAGGCATGTATGGGAACTCAACACACTCTTTATCTTCTTTACGATTCTCATTCTAATTACCAAAACTGTGACTTTGATTTATGTAGATGGATGTGTTTTACCTTTGGTCTAACTTCTCTAATCGTATGATGCTTTTCATTTTCTTTCTCAGCTCCAAATCACTTAACTACGAGGATCCATTCAACAATCCTTTTGTGAAACTTGATAAAGGAAGCTCAACGGTAGAGATGTGCGGGAAAGTCTATCGGCTAGCTCCAGTCACACTTACAGAGAAAGAACAAACTATTCATCAGAAAAGAAGGTCAAGAGCTTACCAATGGAAAAGACCAACGGTTTTTCTCAAAGAAGGAGACGCAATACCGCCTGATGTTGATCCCGATACAATCAGATGGATACCAGCCAACCATCCATTTGCAACAACGGTTAGCGATATTGATCAAGACCTTGCCCAGAACAATGTCTACCAGAAGCAAGGTGTTCCTTTCCGGATTCGAGCTGAGCATGAAGCTATGCAGAAAAAGCTTGAAGCTTTACAGAATGTAAGCTTTTTTTCTTTCCCTGAGAGCTAATATTTGTATTTCACGGGGAATCAATCGAGTACCTAGAATAATGATTGATGTGTTTGTTTCTTGCAGGAGGAGAAATTGAATAATGTGAGTATTGACAGCCAAAATGCCAGGGAATTTCAGAGACCATACAAGTTAGCAACTAAGCTCGAAGGTGAAAATATCCAGAAGAATTCTCAGGAGAATCCTACCGGCAATTCATCCTCTGAGGAGACGCATAAGTCCTGAGATTCACTAAGTTGATTGTAAATACAGTTTTTCCTCGAGAATCACACTTGCGTTCCAAGTAACTGAGATTTTCTTTGTAGTTAAGCTCCAAACCCTATATCAATGTTTTTGTTCTATTTGCTTTGCCCATCAGAACTTGGAAGTCTGAAAGAATAGATAGAGCTTGGATCTCAAATTTTCAGAAATATCGGGGATGGATGTATATTGTAACTAAGGAATGAGAGAAAAATTGAGTAATTATTAGCTTGATTTCGATAACAAAAGAAAGGAAAAACAAAAGAAAATACGAAATGAAGGTGTCTGAGAAACAAACAAAAAGGGTTAAGTACACAGAGCAAATGAAGAAGAAGAATCAAGGTTACGAATTATATATCCTTAGACGGAGCAGGTGCTTGAGCTTGAGCTTGAGCTCCGAAGGCAAAGTAGTCTGTGATAACTTCCAAAGGCATGCCTTTAGTCTCTGGGACTTTCATGTAAACGAAGATCCATGAGATAACGCAAACCGCAGCGTAAATGCTGAAAACACCAACTAGTCCGATCGAGCTGAGGAGAACGGGAAGTGAGTAAGTGACGATAATATCTCCTATCCAGAAAACCATAGCGCAAATGGCAATGCAGAGACCACGGACTCTTGTTGGGAAGATTTCAGAACAGAGGATATTTGGAATGGGGCCGTAACCCATCACGAAGAAGCAGAAGTATAGCACGACACAGCTCGTGGAGAGCGCTGCATTCACGACTTTGCTAATGTGGACAAGCTCGCTAATGACTAGAACGATAAGTGAGACGATGAGAACTGGGATTGTCCAGAGAAGTAATGACCTGCAAAGTGAAACAGAGATGACTTCAGAATCATGAGAAAACAAGGAAATAGGTAAAATGTTCTTATAGGATTTGCTATATACCTTCTTCCGGAGACATCCATGAGTCGCATGGCAACGACAATGGCTGGGAGCATGAGTAAAGTAGTTAAACCACTGATGAGGAATGAAGCCGAGATGGAACTTAGTCCGAAGCTTGAAAGAAGAATATCTACACCAGCCCGTTCGAGAATCTGAGGAGTGTAGTAGAGAACTCCATTGATACCCGAAAACTGCATAGAAGGTTCACAATGTTAAAGGATATAAAAACTCGAGATAATCCGAGAAGTGATGAATGATAGATCCAAGAGTATTTGTGTGTGAACATTCAGAAGTTCCATCTTACCTGCTGTAGTATCTGAATGCCGACACCAACAACCAACGCACGCTTGACACCAGGTTCAAGAAGAGCAGACCAGAGTGGTCCAGCAGCAGCGATTTTCTCCGGGGGAACCATGGCAGATCCAAGCATTGATTTAGGACCAAGAACGGATCTGCTTACAAGGGCAGAAGCGTGAATGTAGCTGCCTCCACCATCAGGACCTCCAGGAACAGAAATGATCGAGCCACGGCGAGATTCAGCTCCATCTTCTTTAAGATAATACCTTTTGTATTCATCGTTTTCATATCTATATCCCATATGCCAACCACCACCAATTCCCATGCTGCTTTCACCATTGCCTTGCATAAGCGTACTGTGCCGTCTCATGCTCAGTGTGCTTCCGCTTGTAGGATGCGGGATCATGTCCTTGTCCATGCTCGTTGTCTGGCGTGACATTAACGGGCTACGCAGATCGTTATCCGAGTCATCATCATCACCAGCACCATCATCAGTAGCATAGTCATCATTGTCTTTGTTGTAATGGCTCTCTATGTCTTTTTCCCAATGAGCCGGTTTACCATGTGGCGCATCAGCATTAGTACTGAACATGCTTCCGAAATGAGGGAAAATCCCACTCCGCGTGTTTCCGCCTGCTTCTGGCATCTTCTCGTGGAGACTTCCGAATAGATTGACGAGTGGATCTTTAAGGATCATACTTTGGTTTGCCAAGCTTCCATGGCGAGAGCGTAGCACAAGTGAACTCTGGTGTTCTGGGACAGGTCTAGCAATGTACGATTGATTCTCGTGGGTTCCATAAAGCCGCATTTGTCCATCCTCATCAACAGTTTCAAGCGCATCATCTCCTTCATGATCCTCCAAAGTTACTAAGAGATCCTCCATGGTTTTCTCTCCTCCTATATCTAGTCCTTCAACTAGCAAAGCCATCTCATCTGCAAATATAAAAAAGAACCGTTAAAATCACAATCGCCTGATATAACCGAAGAAACATAGCGAGAAGAAACCTTACCGGTAACATCTTCTCTGCCACATAACTGTTGAAGAACCCGCTTAGCCTCGTCCATTCTTCCTTTACTAACCAACCAACGAGGAGACTCCGGCAAATAAAACACCGAGAGACACAGATAAACAAGAGAAGGGATCGAGAGGACACCGAGCATCCCTCTCCAGCTCGGCGAATCGCTCAGGGACATAGTGAAAACCATACAGTAAGACAAAAACATTCCACCAGAGCCAAGAAACTGAGGAAGAGTATTCAACTGTCCTCTGATCTCCGGAGGAGCGGTTTCAGAGATGTAAACAGGGACAAGCGTAACCGCGAGCCCGGCACCAAACCCATTAAGAAGCCTAGCAAAGCACAGAACATAGACATTGGGGGACCATAGCATTATCAAACCGCAGACGAAATACATAACTGATGACAAGATCAACATGGGGCGTCTCCCGAGCCAATCAGATATCGGTCCTGAGCAAGTCGTGATGACCGTGGCACCGATCAATGACATTGCAACCACAAGACCCTGAACAGAGGTTGGTAGATTCAAGTCTTTGTTGATATAAACCATAGCTCCTGCAAACAAATCCAATACACAACATTGCAACACTTTTAAATCTCAAATGATTCAATACGTTTGATGCTGATAAACTGATAATGATCCAAACAAACTCAGTTTCAGCAACAAGAGTGAAAGAAACAAACCAGCAATGGTGGCATTGTCCCATCCTTGCAAGAAATTGCCGATTGTGGCGGCGAGAGCAACGAGTGTCGCTCCCTTCATTGTTCAACCAACCCTACAACACCAACCAAAATACAAATCAGTCCATATTCAGTGATTCTCCATTTGAAGTTTCAAACTTTCAGTCAACCATAACCAAAAAAAAAATGGAAATATTTTCCAAATCCAGATCTAAGTCTTCAACAATTCACAAAATGATAAGATTGGTAAAAGCCAGAAACGTTTTACTCGATTACCCTAAACATAAAATCATCAAACAGTAATGATAAACTGCACTACCGTAGGTGGGAAAAACAAAAGTATTTGCCTTTATAGTTTCCTCAGTGAAAGGAGGAGCTATGTGAGAGAGCTACTCAAAAGAGATAAATACCTAAAAGATTGCTTCACTTTCTGGGCAAGAAGAAAGTCTCACCTTTAGTAGAGTTCTCCGACAATTACGAGGAAATGAGAAAGCTTTTCCTCTTTGCCTTTTAATCTCTCCAAAATATATATATATATATATAAATCAGAAGAAAAAAGGAAGCTTTGAAATAGGGGTGATTTGGTTTGGACTAGTTTGAATGATTTTTGCCAAGTTTAGAGATTTTTAATTTTTACTTTCAGACAAAGCTCCGGTGATGGAATCTACAATAAAGACAAAAGGCAAAAACTGGTTTTTTACAATTATTGCGCTACAGAAAAAAATAAAGTTTTGTTTTTTATTAAGAAACGAGATCGGAGCAAGTTCCCAAGGAGAAAGAATCTGCCGAGAAATTCTCACCGCCGGGATCAATTCTTTTTTTTCTCGGGAAGGTGAAAACTTTACAGAAATTTTACATCAGCTTCTTTTGTTGTTTTATGGAAAAAATCAGAATCAGTTTCGTCTGGCGGCTAAAAATATGAGGTGGAGAGCGATTTACGAAGGTATGTAATGTTTATATAGAAAACTCATTAAGATTAAGACTAATGGAAATTGACTAGTTAAAATAATAAAAATCTAGCCTTATTGTATTATCAAAGTTCTACGATGTAAAGATCTGAATTTTAATTAAAAAATCATTGTCATGACTCGTTAATGAGTAGATTTGAGGAGGATACTATATAAGTTTAAGGGGTCCTTATATTGCAACATGGATTACGACTAACGTTTTGGTTTTTTTCGTTTAGACATTTTTTTTCTAAGAAAGTTACATTCCTAATTTTATCGTTGATAAGAGTGGTCCGGTCGTCTGTCACTTTCTTGTAAAAGTTTGACCTTTTAGTCTTTGTTCTTTCAAATTTATTTGGATAAAACAAAATCTTAATCTCTATTTTCCATTGATAATAAACCTTTAAAATATGGGAAATATTAGTTAAGAAGACATAATATTAATAGATTATTATTAAGGTTATTGTTAAAATATTTACTAATATATATGATGGAAGAATTTGCCAAAATGTTGGAAATGCGGATTAATAGGATGACATTGCTATTAAATTCATCAGCGATCTAGTTTTAGTTAAGATGACAGTTAATAGTTAAAACTGATTTTTTTTTTTTTAGAAAACGATAAAAACAAATAAGATATATTAGAGCTTGTCGTTATTTGCAAATTTAACTTACGTGGAACAAAAGATAGAAAACAAGGAAAAAAATCATAAACTCGAGAAACCCGCCAAAATACGATGTAATATGATCGACTTGATGTTAAATTCATTCAATACTAAAACATTTCCATATCAATGAGAATTTTGTTTTCATTAGTTTTATTGAAAAAACAAATATTTATAGTATTTAATATGTATATATTTAACTTATCTTTCTTTCTCTTTTTTACTAAATTTAATATATAAATATGCTAAAATTTCTATTTATATGGTTCCATTGTTAAATTGTTACCTTCTAACCCTTGTAAATTATCTAGTAATAAGTTGGAATCTTAAAAGGTAAAGTGTATGTGTGTATATATATATAATGATATACAGATATGAGAAGAGAACAAAAAGAAACAGCAATGAAGGTGAAAACGTTTCAATAAACGAGTACTGAGGATCCACGTTATAAATCAACATTTCAATCGATGTCCAAAGTTAATAACGTGTTCACTGGTATCTTTTCCATAATATGGAACATGCAAAAACAGAGGATCCACGTTATAAATCAACATCTCAATCGATGTCGCAAAGTTAATAACGTGTTCATTGGTATATTTTACATAATA